CCTGGAATAAAGATTTACCAAGCCTGACTTTGTGTCCCTGGCCTTGGGGATAAAATGTTGATTTTTGGTACCCAAGGGAGGTAAAATGTGGTTTTTTGAGATAGGGAGGACCCAAAAAATGTCCTGTTGATACTTTAAGGATAAAATTTGGGAATTCCAGTTTGGCATAAAGAGAGCAAGGTGTGGTCTTGGTGTGCAGAGTCAAATCTTTCTCATTTTTTATTATTTTTTATTTTTTTCCCTGTTCTCTCTGCATTCTGCTGGGCAGGATTCCTCCCAGGCCATTCCCCTGGTGGTGGAGAGCTGCATCCGCTTCATCAGCAGGCACGGTGAGTCTGGGGCATTGCTAGAAAATAAAATAAAATAAAATAAAATAAAATAAAATAAAATAAAATAAANATATATATGTAGAATTTGTTTCTATTAATTAAATTTATTATAATAATAATAATAATTTATAAAATTAATTCATATAAACAAATTCCTTTTCTTGCCCTGGTATATTTAGAGCAGATCAGGAGCAGGATGGAGAAGTGAGAGAAATTCCTTCCATCTCACTTTTAGTTTCTATATTCTCAAAATCTTTTGCCAAACAATCATATTTATGAAGCTTTCCTGTTTCATCTCCCCCATTTTGATGAACAACTAAAATATTAGACACTCATTATTTTCTGCACACATTGAATATACAGAATGCTGCTACTAAAACTACAATTATTGCTATTAGAATAACCAAACCTATTTTACAAAGTTCCTTTAGCCAAAATTCAAAGCTCCAACCATCAAACAAATTATCTAAGCAAGAAATCCCCATCTCCAAAATGATGGATTCAGGGGCTTTCTTTCATTTCAGTCTCACAGTTTCTATATTCTCAAACATATAGAGAATATATTTTGCCAAACAATCATATTTATAAAACTTTCCTGTTTCACCTCCCCCATTTTGATGAACAACTAAAATATTAGATGCTTATCATTTTTGCACACATTGAAGTATACAGAATGCTGCTACTAAAACTACAATTATTGCTATTAGAGTAATCAAACTTATTTTATAAAGTTCCTTTAGCCAAAATGCAAAGCTCCAACCATCCAATTATCTAAGCAAGAAGTCCCAAGTGATGGATTCAGGGGCTTTCTTTCATTTCAATCTCACTTAAAATTTCTATATTCTCAAAATCTTTTGCCAAACAATCATATTTATAAAGCTTTCCTGTTTCATCATGAACAACTAAAATATTAGGTGCTAACTCATCATTTTTGCACACAAAATGCTGCTACTAAAACTACAATTAGAATAATCCAACTTATTTTATAAAGTTCCTTTAGCCAAAATGCAAAGCTCCTCCTGCCTCGTTAACAAAAGCAAGGTGATTCCCACCAGCGTGGACTCATTGCTGACATCTGTAATAATAAAAATATTATTCATCATGAAACAATTTTAAATATCAAAGAATCGTGCTGGCTTAACAGCTTTTAAACCCACCTCATTGTCTGTGACAGCCCGTGGAATTGGATTTATTTTTAATTTATTTTTATTTTTCATTCAGCGTTTTTGATTTTTTTTTTTTTTTTTTTTACAAAAGGAATTTCCTCCAAATTAACACATTGTACAGGCTTTTTAAAAATAAAAAAATCACACTTCTAATCCTCTTATTTATAATTGAGCAGCCCTGGCAGGGAATTGGCTGCAGTGATGCACGAGGGCCTCGCTGCCATTATCTCCCTTTGCTTTCATTTTTGCACCAAACTAAAGGAATTTTAAACCCCAGCAATAAATTTTGAGGGGAAAACCCTGCCAGAGCAAAGCTTTTTTATTATTTTTTAATAATTTAATGTCTCACAACACCAAAAAAATGAGAGCAGACAGGCAAGGCTGGTGCGTGCTGCTGTTCCAGGGGGGGTTTAAATAAATAATGTTATTTATTTATTTGAAATAATATCAAAAATATCATAAAGACTCCACTGTGAACAGCACAGGGGGACCCAGCTGCAATTTATATCAAACTTCATCTCCTGCAAGCACCCCAGGATGGTCAAAATTAAAATATCAGGGGTGATTTTTTTTGTGCCTTGTGCCTTGTGCAGGTTTTGAGTGATTTAAAAAGTAAATTACAATTTTTCTGGAGGTCCAGAACTGGAGTGAGGCTCTGGAATTAGGATTGACTGGGAATTTTTGCTCTGGAATTTTGGTTTACTGAGATTTCTGGCTCTGGAATTACGATTGGGATTTCTGGCTCTGGAATTTTGGTTTATTTGGGTTTCTGGCTCTGGAATTATGATTGACTGGGATTTTGGGCTCTGGAATTCTGGTTTATTGGGATTTCTAGCTTTGGAATTGTGATTGATTGGAATTTTTTTGCTCTGGAATTTTGGTTTACTGGGATTTCTGGCTCTGGGATTTTGGTTTATTTGGATTTCTGGCTCTGGAATTACGATTTACTGGAATTTCTGGCCCTGGGATTGTGGTTTACTGGGATTTTTTGCTCTGCAGTTTTGGTTTACTGGGGCATTTGGCTCTGGAATTTTGGTTTATGCGATTTCTGGCTCTGGAATTAGGATTGACTGGGATTTTTTGCTCTGGAATTATTATTGGGATTTATGGCACTGGAATTTTGGTTTACAGGGATTTCTGGCTCTGGAATTTTTGTTTTCTGGGATTCCTAGCTCTGGAATTATGATTGGGGTTTCTGGCTCTGGAGTTTTGGTTTATTTGGATTTCTGGCTCTGGAATTACGATTGGGATTTCTGGCTCTGGAATTAGGATTGACTGGGATTTTTTTCTCTGGAATTATTATTGGGATTTATGTCTCTGGAATTTTGGTTTACTGGGAATTTTGGCTCTGGAATTTTGGTTTTCTGTGATTTCTAGCTCTGGAATTATGATTGGGATTTCTGGCTCTGGGATTCTGGTTTATTGGAATTTCTAGCTTCAGAATTGTGATTGACTGGGATTTTTTTTGCTCTGGAATTATGGTTTACAGGGATTTCTGGCTCTGGAATTATGGTTTACTGGGATTTTTTGCTCTAGAATTATGCTTGACTGGGATTTCTGGCTTTGGAATTACGATTGGGATTTCTGGCTCTGGAATTTTGGTTTATTTGGATTTCTGGCTCTGGAATTAGGATTGACTGGGATTTTTTGCTCTGGAATTATGATTGGGATTTCTGGCTCTGGAATTTTGGTTTACTGGGAATTTTGGCTCTGGAATTTTTGTTTTCTGGGATTCCTAGCTCTGGAATTATGATTGGGGTTTCTGGCTCTGGAGTTATGGTTTATTGGGATTTCTGGCTCTGGAGTTCTGGTTTATTTGGATTTTTGGCTCTGGAATTTTGGTTTATTGGGATTTCTAGCTTTGGAATTGTGATTGACTGGGATTTTTTGCTCTGATATTATTATTGGGATTTCTGGCTCTGGAATTATGGTTTACTGGGATTTCTGGCTCTGGAATTATGATTGGGATTTCTGGCTCTGGAATTTTTGTTTATTTGGATTTCTGGCTCTGGAATTACGATTTACTGGGATTTCTGGCTCTGGAATTTTGGTTTATTGGGATTTCTGGCTCTGGAATTACAATTTACTGGGATTTCTGGCTCTGGAGTTACAGTTTATTGGGATTTCTGGCTGTGGGATTTAGGTTTCCTGAGATTTCTGCCTCTGGAATTTCAGTTTTCTGGGATTTTTGAATCCTTCTCTGCTCCAGCACGTGGCAGGGATGAGCTGGTGATGGGGGAGGATTATTCTGATTTTCTGCTCTTTTTTCCCCCTCCTGCACCTCTGGACCAGTGGCAGGCGCAGCTCCACCGTGAGGAAACAGGTAATTATTAAAACAATAATTAAAGCAATTAACATTTCCCTCAGTAACGAGGCAGGGGTGTGGTGTGGGAAGAGGAGGAGGGCTGGAAAACAAATTTTTATTTTTCCCTCCTTGTCTTCCATGGACCTTTTCAGTTTTATTGGAGAAATCCCTCAAATCTGGATCCAGAACCTTGTTCGTTTTCCATGGCAAAATTTAAAATTAATTGGAATCAAAAATCCAAAACCTCGTTGATTTTCCATGGGAAAATTTAAAATTTCTTTCACTTTGTGTTTTGCGAGACCTGGAATCAAAAATTCAAAACCTTGTTTCATTTTCCATGGCAAAATTTAAAATTACCTGGAATCAAAAGCCCAAACCTCATTGATTTTCCATGGCAAAATTTAAAATTACCTGGAATCAAAAATCCAAAACCTCATTGATTTTCCATGGCAAAATTTAAAATTAATTGGAATCAAAAACCCAAAACCTCGTTGATTTTCCATGGCAAAAATTTAAAATTAACTGGAATCAAAAATCCAAAACCTCATTGATTTTCCATGGGAAAATTTGAAATTGCTTTTATTTAGTGCTCTGACAGACCTGGAATCAAAAATCCAAAACCTTGTTTCATCTTCCATGACAAAATTTAAAATTAATTGGAATCAAAAACCCAAAACCTCATTGACTTTCCATGGCAAAATTTAAAATTGCTTTTACTTTGTGTTCTGACAGACCTGGAATCAAAAATCCAAAACCTCATTCATTTTCCATGGCAAAATTTAAAATTTCAAATTTAAAACTTGTTTCTTGTTGTGCCTCCCTGGAATAAAGATTTACCAAGCCTGACTTTGTGTCCCTGGCCTTGGGGATAAAATGTTGATTTTTGGTACCCAAGGGAGGTAAAATGTGGTTTTTTGAGATAGGGAGGACCCAAAAAATGTCCTGTTGATACTTTAAGGATAAAATTTGGGAATTCCAGTTTGGCATAAAGAGAGCAAGGTGTGGTCTTGGTGTGCAGAGTCAAATCTTTCTCATTTTTTATTATTTTTTATTTTTTTCCCTGTTCTCTCTGCATTCTGCTGGGCAGGATTCCTCCCAGGCCATTCCCCTGGTGGTGGAGAGCTGCATCCGCTTCATCAGCAGGCACGGTGAGTCTGGGGCATTGCTAGAAAATAAAATAAAATAAAATAAANAAGGGGAAGATCCCTTGGCTGGGGACCAGAATGACCACGACATGGATTCCATAGCAGGAGTCCTCAAGCTCTATTTCAGAGGCCTGGAGCACCCCCTGTTCCCCAAGGACATCTTCCATGACCTCATTGCCTGTGTCAGTAAGTACATGAGGAACTGGAAGGAAATTAGATTCATTTTCCTCATCCCCCACTTGTCTTTTCTCCCTTTCCCCTTTTTTCCCTGACTCCAAGGTGAAATTTTGGGGTTTCTCTGTCTGGGTTTGTGCTGCTGGGCTGGTTTCTGTTACCCAGTCACCTTTTCACAGCCACCCTTGTTCTAACATGAATGAACAAGGAGATGGAAATTCACAGATTTTAAGGATTCATTTTCCTCATCCCCCCACTTGTCTATTCCCCCTTTCCCCTTTTTTTCCCTGACTCCAGGGTGAGATTTTGGGGTTTCTTGTGCTGCTGGGCTGGTTTCTGTTACCCAGTCACCTTTTCACAGCCACCCTTGCTCTGACATCAATGAACAAGGAGATGGAAATTCAGAGATTTTGAGGATTCATTTTCCTCATTCCCCACACTTGTCTATTCCCCCTTTCCCCTTTTTTTCCTGACTCCAGGATGAGATTTTGGGGTTTCTTGTGCTGCTGGGCTGGTTTCTGTTACTCAGTCACCTTTTCACAGCCATCCTTGCTCTGACATCAATGAACAAGGAGATGGAAATTCACAGATTTTAAGGATTCATTTTCCTCATTCCCCTACTTGTTTTTTCTCCCTTTCCCCTTTTTTTCCTGACTCCAGGGTGAGATTTTGGGGTTTCTTGTGCTGCTGGGCTGGTTTCTGTTATCCAGTCACTTTTTCACAGCCATCCTTGCTTTGACATCAATGAACAAGGAGATGGAAATTCACAGATTTTGGGGATTCATTTTCCTCATCCCCACACTTGTTTTTTCTCCCTTTCCCCCTTTTCCCTGACTCCAAGGTGAAATTTTTGGGTTTCTCTGTCTGGGTTTGTGCTGCTGGGCTGGTTTCTGTTATCCAATCACTTTTTCACAGCCATCCTTGCTCTGACATCAATGAACAAGGAGATGGAAATTCAGATTTTGAGGGCTGTGTGATGGGGTTTGTGAGCCAGTGCTCAGTGACAGGATTCTTTTAAAAGAGAATAAAGCAAAAAACCCTCTTTTGTGTAAAATAATCGTGAAGAGCTGTCATCAGAGGATGTCAGGAATGCCCTGTGTGAGGCAGGGATCACCAGCAGGGTTCCCTGGATATCTCTTTCCCTGGATTTCTGCTGCCATGTGTGCTGGCCTCAGCTGACAAGGTGGTTTTTATTCATGCTCCTTTTAGCTTCATACCCACCAGGGACCATCCACTGCCTCCTGCTCCTGCACATCAATCACCAGGGCACTCACTGTTAACATTTCTCGTGGCTGCTGAAGGTGTTTCTGCCCGGCAGAGGCTTGTTTGTGGTTTCTGTGTTGTTTTTAAGTGGCCTGGCTCTTGCTACACCCCCAGAACTGAAGAATGATTCCATTGTCCAGCAGAGAAATGGCCTTTGCAGGGGCAGCCCCTGGAGAGAGGCAGAGATGGCTGCTTCAGGAATGGCCTGTGCTTTTCTGCTGCTGATAAATGCAATTCCAGACTTGGGTTTGTGTGATGCTGAGAAGGAAAATCCCCTTTGCCCCTGAGGAGCTCTCCCTTGTGAGCTGA